AGATGGGAAGTACAAGGTGACTTTTCATTTTTTAAATGCTAGTGTACAAAAAGTTATAATTCTCTTCAAATTAATGAAGATCAGATTTGATTGGGGGAGACCTCCTGAAAATTTTGGCTACAGATATATAAAAAAAGAAACCAAGAAAGACTACAGGTCAGGTGATGTATATTCTGCATCTCATAATTTTCTGAGCTTCCTGAGTCATGTGAGCCTCCTTCCTCAATCCAGGAGGGGATGTTTCAATACAGAGGAAATTGATACACAATGGGGAGGTGGAGGGCTGGGGTGTTATGTGTGTGGTGGAGGTGGCTGCTGCCATATGCATTACAGCAACTATTTCTTTTGGAAGTAAGCTTCTTACTTAACCTTTAGTTACTTGAGTTGAGGGCTGCTCCCTAGTTACCATGAAGCTGGACCCTGGGGGCAGCAGGATGCTATACTGAAATGTCTCCTTCATTTCTTCATTTCAGTGCCGGACTGCCTTACTGCCTAGCAGAAAGCTGTTCTCCCCACCCCACCCCACCCTCTCTCCCCCTCGCCCTCCTGCCCTCTCTTCCTCCTCCTTCTCCTCCCCCTTCATCATAAAAAATAATAAAATAAAATAAAAGCGCAGGTCCCAGCAATCCTGCCTCTTTCTGAGTACTGTGTTCCTGTGTTTGCAGGACTGGACCACCATGCCCATCTCAGAAACCTATCCGTTTCTCTTCTTTGTATTACCAGGGCCTGGCCAAAGTCACAGGGGCTAAATACACTGAAGATAAGTGGATTTTTTTCTTAAGAGAGAGAATATGATGCCTTCTTCATAAAGTGGTGAAGACTTGGGTGTTATAGAAATGTATACTTTGTTTTGGAATGTACTTTCATTTATTGATACAATTTAAGGTCAATCTTATGATGTGTGTATTTCTCCTCTTGTTTAGGTATTGTGTTTATATAGCTCATTTAGAAATGTAATGTATAATTTAGTACAGATTATAGATACCTATCATAGTCAAAACTTATAGCTAAGTGAGTTAGGATTTCTAGATATACAGAGATGTATTTGAGATGAATAGGCATTCTTCAAACCTTTCAAAGACCTACAGAATATGGCACTTAAAATGGTTTAGGGTTTTTCTTGACAGTAAAACATAAATGCTCCTGGCAACACAACCTGAGTCAGAAAGGAAGATGAAGATGGACATCGAAGAAACGCGTTATGAAGTTTGCTTTCAATATAGCAAGACTAGCCATTTGGACAAGATACTGCTCTTGTCTGGACTGTTTGACTTTATGCTGTATAAACTGAACATGCAGGACCCACAGAAAAGTGACTGCTGATTCAAGATGGACATTGCTACAGAGTTCCTGCTTCATGAAAGAGTCTGCCAGACAGTCTACAGGACACAGAGAAAAATGACTGATAAACTGCCAATACAAGAAGACAGTTTAAAGTTTCCTGATTTGCTGAAGAGTCTGTTAGACACACTATGGCCTATGGACTGAAGATGGAAGATTACAGAAGAACTTCAGGTAACTAACAAGGCGAGATCTCTGTCATTTCTAGAGTTTATATACTATCCTTCTGTGGTCTTTGAAGGAGTTGAAGACAGATAGTTATGGTTATAGATTTCCTTAGTTAAACTTAAAGATAAGTTACATATAGGACTTTAGACTCACAAAGATAGAATAGATGATGAAATATTTTCTTAAATCTTGCTAAATGTTAATGGACTAAATATTGTTGACTGTGATTCTTACTTGATAACTGTTGTGTAATATATCTTGCTATGTTAAGGTTAAAACCCTTCTTTTTATTTTAGACAGAAAAGAGGAGATGATGGGAGATGCCATTCTGTAAATGTTTCTCATACTGGTTAATGAATAAAGCACTGTTGGCCAATAGGAAAGGAAGATAGGAGGGACTAGGAGAGAAGGAGGAAGAGGAAGTAGTGGGGGAGGGGTCAAGATGGAGAGTTTGGAGAAAGCAGTATGCCGGCCGGCTCCCCGGAAGAGAAATACATAGATCAACAGAAATGGGTTAATACTTAAGACAGAGCTAGCCGATAAGAAACTAGTACCAGGCCAACAGAATTATATCTAATACAGAGTCTCAGTGTGTTAATTGGGGCTGGCGTGGCGGCGGGACCAGACTGGCAGCGGGAGGAAAACCATACTCCTTACACTTGGGAATACGCTCAGGCATACAATGTTTCCTTGGGGTAAAACACTAGTAAGCAGTTAGAACTAAGTCCTTTTCACCTTGAAGCCCTGCCTGTTTTGACTTATCCATCCTAGTATTTTGATGGCCAGTCACTACCTTGACTACCTTTTAATGGATTTGGCTTTGTCTTTTAAAACCCCAACATTAAAGCTAGGGAAGTAGCTCAGTCAGTAAAGTGCTTCTTGAGAATTTGAGAATTTGGCCACTGGTGGGTTTCCTATGGTCCAGTGGATGGCCCCACACCCATGAATGGGAAGTGTTTTTGGACTTAAACACATTCTCAAAAAAAAAAAAAACAAAACAAAACAAAACAAAAAACCCAGAAAGGCATGAAGTTGAAGGGATATGAGGGAAATTTGAGGCCCTAGGTTGAATACCCTTTAACATACACAATGGGGGCGGGGGGGAAGAGATGCTGGTTGAACCTAATGCCCACTCCATGGTATGGAACCCATTCCTAGCACTGCTAAAGTGAGCAAGAACCTGAAACTCCACAGGTCATGGACTTGGAGAAAACCTACTATTCTTCTATAGGAACACAGCAATAAATGACTCCTAAGAACACACTGATATACCCATAGACCACAGCATCACTCAACTGTTATCAGAGAATGTTCTTCTCAGAGTAGATGATAATTAATAAAGAGAACCACAATTGGACATGGTGCAGATAATGAGAGACTCAGCCTTAAATGGGATGTTTAAGCAATGAACTTTCTCAATGAAGTGTCATTAGGTCAGTCAACTGCATTCTGAGATAGGCTTCACGCCATCACAAAACAGATTCCATACTATTGTGTACTTTTTGTTTTGTTTTGGTATGTTTTCTCTTCTTGACTTTCTTTTTTAGAGTTTGTTTTGATTATTTGTCTTTTTCTTTATGTTGTCTTTCTTATTTTCTTGTTTTTTTTTTTTTAAGAGAGACAAAAAACATAAATTTGTGTGGTTATGGAGGTACAGAGGCTTTGGGGGGGAAATGGGGAGGGAAAAGAATTTGATCCAAATATATTGCATAAAAAGTTTTAAAGATTTATTTATTTTTGTTTTATGTGTATGAGTGTTTCTGAATATGTGTAATGCACCACATGTATGCCTGTGCCCACAATGGCCAGAAAGTGGCATTGGATCTCTGGATCCATGAAACTGGAATTAGAACTGACAGTGAACCAGAATGTGGGTGATGGGAACCTAATTCAGAGTCTCTGAAAGGGGCTCTTAACTGAGGAACCAGCTCCAACTGAGCAAATCTTTGATGACTGTGAGTGTCTAGTGTCTTGGGTTCTCAAGTCATGCACAACCAGGCTGTGAAATGTCCTGTGACTTGAAAAACTCTGCTTCATTCAGGATATAAGAAGCATGTGATGAGCCTCCCAGGTGACAATTCATGTTCATTTAGGGAAGAGTATTAGTGCTATTGATCATGAGTTTATGTAAGTGAGCTAATAGTATCTATTAAACATATAAAGCATATGTGTGTGTATCAATAAAACATACAAAAACAATTTTGGATGAAGAAATGTTACAACCAGAGGTTCACAGAAACCCACTTTAGTTTAACCTCAAATGCTCTCAAAGACCAACCAAGTGTTTTGGCTTGGTTGCTTGTCTAGGGTGCTATTGACAGTTAGTAGAACCTTTAGGAGATGAAGTCAAGTGGGAGGAAGTCATTGGGGGTATGCTTGGGGAGATAGTGAACTTGGAGTCTGGTTGCCCTCTTTCTCTGCTTCTTGGCTACTACCAGATGAGCAGTCTTACCTATCACATGGTCCCACTGTGAAATCTTATGCTGCTACTGCCCCCAAGCAAGAGGACCATGGATGGAGACCATGTGTCAGAAGCCTTTCCTTCATTGTTATCTTGGGTATTTGTTACTGTAAATGCAAGCTGGCTAATTCAGAGCCCTGTATTTCCCTCAAGCAGTCCTCATTCATAAAGTCAGTGTTGGTGGCAACTGTAGTGGCCATAACTACTATAAATTTGTCAGTTTTTTATTTCACTTCCCATTTATTCAGTAACTCACTGATGAGTCAAAAGTGATTTGTTCAGTTTCTATATGTTTGGATTTTTTCTATAGTTTTTCTGATCCCACCAATCTGGGACCAAATATTTAAAACATATGAGCCTATGGGAACAGTTTACCACAGACATCAACCTTGGGTGTCAGCCTCGGGTGCTGTTCACTTTGGTTTTTTAAACAGTCTTTCATTAGGACCCAGGGCTCACCAACAGAGTCCTGTCAGTCCGGAGCCCTAGTATCTGCACATGCCAGCCTCCCCAATACTTAGATTAAAAGCATGCACCACCATGCTTGGCATTCTGTGTGGGTGCTGGGGTTTGAGGTCAAGTCCTCATGCTCACGCAGCAAACATTTTATCACCTGAGCCATTTTCCCAGGTCAAGTATAGAAAAAATTCATTGACTAATTAACAGAAGTTTTCTTTCTTGGGCTAAAAGTAGCTGCTTCTATTTCCCAAGTGCCTGGCTTTCCTGATGGAGACATGCAAACACAGCTACAAGCCTGGAATGTCCTGTGAGGGTAAGAATAGCCACACAGAGACAATTCCTGCTGTGGGCCCTGCAGTTGTCAGGAGTGTCTCATTGGCAAGCAGCTTAGAGCCGGCTCAGTGTGGAGACAGAAGACCTGACCTTCCAGGCCTGGGAGCACATCTTTCTTTCCACAGCTTGGTGCTCACCTTGAAGTCTGATGTAGAAAGAATCAATTTTTTTTAAACATCCTTGGAGTACATAGGCCTCACAACCCTCCAGCAGCCCAGGCCTGTGGCTTTCTGCAAGCATGGAGAACTTGGACTTGTTGGGGTTCCTCATTATCACCTTAAACTGCAACATGACCATTGTGGGTGAGTCTTGTGGGGAAAAACTCCCAAATTTTGTTCTGGTTTTATTGCCATATTCAGATTGCCTTTTCAAAAGTTTATTCCAATTTTCAATTTGTTGGACCCACTCCCAAAAGAAAGGTCAGTGATCAGAACCTGGCTAATGCTAAGCAAGGGTTGTACCTTGCTCCCATCAACATGGGAGGATGTGTGGAGGTCAGCATCAGTCTCAGGCAAGATCTGTTCTCCCAGCATTTGGGTTGGTAATTTAAAGGCAGAATCAGGTGGAATAAGAAAAAAAAAAATAGTGCTTCTGTTGTACCTCCTCATCTATTTTTTTAGGTGTTATCTGTGGAGATTATGTTATAAATATAACTAATTCTCTTAAGCACTCTAACAGATACCAAGTTTAAATTAGTTGTTTGTAGCCTTGAGGATAGGGCTCAGGGCCTCAGGTGTGAGGTGCTGATACACCGAGGCAAGGTGATCTGAGCTATGTCCCCTACCCCTAGTGACATATTCATTCTTTCCCCAGTTTGCTATATAGCTCAGGCTGGCCTTGAACTTCTGACCCACTCCTGTCAGAGCTTTCCAAGCGCTGGGTTGCAGTCTTTCATAATCATATATCACCTTAGCTATTCTTGTGACAAAAGAATAATCAAGATGCCCGAGATTGACCCAAATGAGTCCGTTTCAGAGTGTCTGAAAAGAGGATGGAGAAAGGGTTGAGAGTTGCCTGATGTGAGGTTGATAGTTTGTTTTTCACTCTTATTTTGTAGAATCTTAACAAACCTGGTATTGAAAGGTTAAATCCATGACTCATCACCTACTAATGTTTCTCTCTGAGCTTGACTGCCTTTATAAATGACGACTTGTTTCTTTTTTCTTCTGTTTGTTCACAGTTTTTGTTAATACAGTGACTGGTCTAAGGGGAAAGGAATCTGGAAATACTAGAAAAAGGGAACATTCTTAAAGACATTCAAAGTAATGGTAGCCACAGGACCTATGATTTATGGAGACCCTATCGGCTGGCATCATAAATAAGGGAGACACTGAAATGACCAGCTTCTGTTTGCTCAGTATGATGAAGGGGATATGCTAAGGACCTTTAAAAAGCTTAGTCCCTAAGAAGGGTGAAATTGAATCACATTATAGATTTGCTCAGCCAAAATGATCTCTGGATCTTTTAGTCCAGGCCATGCAAAGGCATCTTTAATGCATGATGCACTTCACAGATACACTCACTGGAAATATCCTTCATGAATTTCAGGGCTGTTTCTGGTACAGCAAAGGCTTAGGAAGTAATGGCCCCAAAGGATTGGTGGTGGGGTTCAGTAGTAGAGAACTTTCCTAGCATAACATGCAACAGGTTCTGGTTTTGATCCTTGTTACCACCAGTGCATGTGCGTGCATGTGTGTAAATAATCGCCCCTATTGCTTTGAGTGCTACTGACTTCCCAGAGTGTAGTAATTAAGCTGCTGTGTGAAAGCACCTTAGGCACTGATCCCTGGCCACTTGCTCTCACTGTCTAGGCATACTCTGGCTGGTCGTCGCAGTCCTCCTAAGGATGCTGGTGGTGGTCTTGGCAGGGTCCCCTATCTACCAGGATGAACAGGAGAGGTTTGTTTGCAATACTCTGCAGCCAGGATGTGCCAACGTTTGCTACGACTTCTTCTTCCCAGTGTCGCCACTGCGGTTCTGGCTGGTGCAGAGCCTGGCACTGCTCCTGCCTTCGGTGGTCTTTGGTGCCTATGCTCTGAACCGTGGTGCGAAGCTGGCTGCGGAGGGAACCTGCAGACCCCGGGTGCCCGACCTGTCCTCTGCCTACCTAGTGCACCTGCTGCTGCGCACACTGCTGGAGGCTGGGCTGGCCTCCCTGCACTACTTGCTGTACGGCTTCTCTGTGCCCAACCGAGTTTCTTGCTCGCGTGTGCCCTGCTCAGGGGCTGTGGACTGCTACGTGTCGCGGCCCACGGAGAAGTCTCTTCTGATGCTGTTCGTGTGGGCCGTGAGTGCGCTATCCTTCCTGCTCAGTTTGGCTGACCTGCTTTGCAGCCTGAGAAGAACACGGGGGACCATGCAGGGGGTGAAGGGCGAGGCCAGACCAGTCTGCAAAGTCTCCACACTCCCCCCTGGTCTCTTACAGGACCCTCAGGGCTGTCATAGTCAGGGTCAGGTGGACCGTGAAAATGGGCAGGAGGAGCAGGGTGTGCCTGAGTTCACCAGCATGTGGACAGCAGGGCAGGGCGGCGACAGCCATGACAGCCACCAGGCCATTGTGTCAGGGCGGATGGAGCATTCAGACCAAGATGATAGTGAGGCCACTTCCTTAGTTGGCGACAGGTTGGCAGTGGCTCACAGAGAGCCCTTCAGATCCCACAGAGAGACTTCAGCAGACCTGGGGGTCCAAAACGCCCGGTCAGGTGAGATCCCCTTGGTCACCCAGAGCCACCTGGCCAGGCACTGTTCAGCAAGCCAGCCTGTTGCTCCTGGTCTGCTGGCCACCTCGGGCAGCGCCCCCCACCTGAGAACCAAAAAGTCCGAGTGGGTGTGAAGACAATCGTGCAGAGCCCACACACCCTTTCCCCAGCACCGCGCTGCCCTTTGCATTGTGACAGGGCAAGACAGTGCAGAGGTTCTTTGGTCTCATCTTCGTACTGAGATCATTTTAGGATTCAGTAAGCTTACCTTCTGTTAAACTACCTGCTGGTGCAGACCTCTCCCAACACCTACCCACTTCTCTTAGCTTTTATTAAAGTGCTTGGTTAAGCAAAACCTCCCTCTCAGCTGCATGGCAAAATACCAAGATTTGTGTTTGGCCTTTAAAATGCCTTTTCCCTAAAAACTCAGTGGGACACTTGTGTCCCAAATACCTGTGTAGTCTCTGCCAGCTGTAATAAAGACTTTCAATTGGCTCTAAATTGTGTCTGATTGGTCATCTCTGGTGGGCTCCCCATAACAGGAACAGGCTGTGCGTGTAAAGCCAAAATCCTATAATGAGTGATCAGAACCTGAGATTTGCTCCACAAAGACAGCATTGTACTGAGTGGGTGCCACAAGAGAAGGTGATATTGTAAGCAAGGGACCTAAGCTCTCCTCCCTCGCCATCCACTGCTCCCCAACTCCCTTCACTCTTACAAACCTCAGTTTTCTCCTTTGAGTGATGGGGGACCTAGACTAGCATGTTCTCTTTTGCTCTTCAGATTGAAGACTGCCTGAGTATGGCCATCGGTTATGCTAACATACTAAGGGTCATCTTTCCGTCTTTCCGTCTTGTTAAATACCCAGCATAGGCTGTGCTATAATAACAAAAAAGTCTGTGTTGCTGTAACAAAATACCAGAGCCTAAATTATAAAGAAAAAAATTATATATATATATATATATATATATATATATATATATATATCAACAGAGATTGGGAATGCCAAGACTGGACTAAAGAAGTCCTTTTAGCTGTTTCATAACACAATAGGGAATTCCATGAAGAGTCAGAATGAACAGCTGGCCAATTCATGTCTCCCTTCCTCTTCTTTTAAAAGATTCTTATTTATTATTAAATGCATGATGTGCATGTGTGTGTGCATGTGTATGAGTGCGTACATGTGTACATGTGTCTGTATGTGTGTATGTGTGTGCCATAATGTGCTTGTGAAGATTACAGGGAGTCAGTTCTCTCTTTCTACTATGTATTCCAGGGATTGAACTCGGGTTGTCAGACTGGTATGAGGAGAACTTTGACCTGCTAAGCCATTTCAGGCCTTCTCTTTTATTTTAATTTTTTTCAGGCCTTCTCTTCTTAAAATATCATTAACACCATCATGAGGTTTCACCCTCAGAATGTCACCTAATTCTAACTGCCTCCCCAAGGCCCTGTCTCCAGATACCATTAACACAGGGATTTTGTAATTAATTTTCCAATACATGCCGATTGTGATTGTTTTGCTGTGTCAACACGACTGAAAGTCACCCTGTGATGGATCACATTGCAGCTCTCAATGGTTTTCAAGCCTTGAAAGATCTCACAGTTCTTGTAAAATCATGCACAAGACCTGTGCAAGCACAAATCAGACCAAAGCCCAGGATGAAGATGAGATTCAGACACCAAGTCCCACTCCCAGCCATAGATAGAGCTCTGGTCAATTGTTAGTTACTGGGAGAGGGAGAATCAGATTTCTGCAAGAATCTAGCCTGTGGTCCATCATCCATGCTCTGGTGGAAGGCTACACACCCAAGAATGTTTGTGTGGCACAAATGAGTCTTGTGGCAGGGAGACAGAAAGTTGTGTGACTGTGGGGATAACCCTGGTCAAAATACACTGTATGAAATTCTCAAAGAACTAATAAAATTTTTAAAAAGACTTTTAAAAATGTATGAGGGGAATAGGGGGAAATTTTTAGTCTTTATCCAGCGGAGCCTCGGGTGGTGCCTTAGGGATTGCTTTGACTAGAGTTCCATCTATCTGCTCACATGGAAAGGACAAGATGGGCTCATAGGCCCACCTGGGGTGGCACTGTCACATCTCGTTACACACTCTCTCAGGAACTTCATCTTAATGGCAAGAGGCTAGACTGAGAAGGGTGGCGGGAAAATCAGAGGGACCATTAGCTGGTGTGTGCCTCAGGCAGGATTGTTTCTGTACACTTGCTTCCTAAGAAGTATTCAACAGATCCCTGGGATCAGCATAATGGGCTCCACACAGTCTCCTCTGATGGGCTCCTTGGGTTCAGAACAGTCACTGATAGATTCCTTGGGTTACATATCTGACCTGAAAAAGGTTTGGGGATTTGTCGGATTTACACTGGGGGAATCCAGTGTCCATTTCTTCAGGAATGAAAAGGTGGTGGGCATAGTGATGCATGCATTTAATGCCAGCACTTAGGAGGCAGAGGCAGGTAGCAGAATCTTTATTAGTTCACGAGGATCAATGTGGTATACATAGAAAGCAGTCTAGGGAGCCAAGGAAATGGTACGTATGCGCTTAGTAGGCACCTCATTCTCAGATGCAGATATCTACACTGGGAACTTCTTTCAACTTTTCTGGGTGTAGATTCAGTTCCAGGAAAGATGAGCAGTGTGGCATAGTAAGGAATGCAAAGTGAGGACCACAGACTGAAGAGTAAATCCTATGGGTCTCATTCCATGCCAACTCTGGGGCTGGTTTTGAAAGTCTCTGGTGAATCTTCCTGGCTGGGTAGGAGGACATGTTTGTTTCCCTAAGAATGAAGTGGCTTTCAGACACCCTCCTTCTTGAATTTCAAGTGTGTGTGTGTGTGTGTGTGTGTGTGTGTGTGTGTGTGTGTGTTTGCACTTATGCATATATCCTTGTGTGTATATGTCCTTGTCTACATGCATATGTATATATATGCAAGTGTGGTTTTCTTGCTCCCAACATCTATCTATACAACAATGCCTTCCTTGGGGATCTTTAAACTTGACTTTCAACTCTATAGTTAGTCCCAGAGAGAGGTGAGATACTAGGGTTTCATAGCCTTATATGATGAACCTAGGTGAAATTCATTTTATAGAGAATTGAGAAAATTACAGCAAATGCCAATTGGGCATGCCTCAGCATCGAGCATTTGTCTAGTGTGCAGGAGGACATATATTTGATCCCAAGCATTGAGTAAAACCTGTATTTTAGTAGGAAGTCTCTCCTCCTTCCCCAGATGGAGGAGCAAAGGGTCAGAGTGAGCCCCCATCACATCTCTGGTTGCCATCTGATTCTTTGAAAGGTTCTAGGTGTCACTGGGCAGATTTTCTTCCCTCAGTCTCTCAGGCAGAACTGCTTGTCCTGCACACAGACCCACACAGATTCATCAGTAGGCTAACAAGACTTGAAGATCTGTGGAGTCACAATAAAGCATCATCTATGGCACATGGGCTCTGCATATGCATCTTCTTCTATTCCTTTCCATGAAGTTTTAGCGCTCTCCACATGCCACGAGCAGTCAGAAATCTGAGGTGGGGTGAGCTCAGGTGCACATCTGTCCAGAGTCTCTCAAGTCCTCGAACCCCAGCAAACTGCGCCCTTTTCACAGGGCTCGCCCAATGGGAGCAGGTGAATGTGGGAATCCCACTTGGTTAACCACGGAAACCTCAGGACACACTTAACCGTGTTCCCATAAGATGCCTCTTGAGCTGAGATCACAGATGTCTGAGAGACAACTGCCAGCAAGTCTTCAGGAACTGAAATGACATGTGGTGGATGGACCTGGTGAGGCTTCCAGGTTTTCGGTTGCTCCCAGTCTTGCCAGCAGAGGGCTCTCTTGGATCATAGTTAAGATTCAAGAGTTAAAGGTATCAAAATAAAATGTGAGTTTGTCTTCTCCACATTGATACATCGTTGCCCCTTTATTTTATTTTCATATTTATCTTCTTTGCTCATAGAAATCAGGATTTAAGAATTCCCTACAATCCATCTGGGAAGTCCTATTAGATTGATTTTAGACAAAAATATGGTCAGGGCTTGGGAGTGTGAACAACCTAGTCTCATAGGAAGGAGCTCATTTAACAAGGCAAGGGATTGTCCTTGTGGGTTTGAGATGCAGCTCCTAGTTTTGACTTTCTTCCTATGAGTTTACTCACATGCATCTGATCATCCCCCTCTACCCCCCCTCGACTTTCTACCAAAACTACAAAGACTTGGCTTGAGAACTTGACCAACCAAGACAGATGGTAGCGGTAGATGCTGTAACCCTGCAGTGTCAATTCTCAGAAAACTGTTGATCAGATGTAACAGTGGGACATCCCCTGTCCCATCAAGCAGTTCACAATTTGGCTACAAAGAACCCTTATGGCTGCAACCTGTCAAAGGGCTATCTGCAAAGACACATACTATTTTCCATACTGGCTTATGAAACAACATGCTATTTTATAGTTAGGAATCCATCCTTGGCAGGGAGGTTCCTAGTCTTACTGCAACTTGATATGCCATGTTTGGTTGGTATCCATGAGAGGCCTGCCCTTTTCTGAATAGAAATGGAGGAGCAGTGCATGAGGGGGACAGAGAGGAAGTGGGGGGATGAAGGGCTAGAAGGAGTGGAGGGAGGGGAAACTGCAGTCAGGATGATGGTGATGACGATGACAATAGTAATAACAAATATATATATATATATATGTGTGTGTGTGTGTGTGTATATATATATATATATATACACACACACACTTTGCTTCTGAGAAGTGACCTGTGACACTTGGAGGAGCCCAGGATATCATGAGTAAATCCCAGACATTTTACATTCAATTATTTTCACTATTGAAGTGTGGTTTTGCTTTGTTCAGATTGGGTCTGTGCCTTGGTTCTTTGCAAGCCAGTAAGCACCACACTTTGGTGGCTTCTGCATCAGCATCTGCCTCCAGATTCCAACTCTGTCACTGTCCTAGCTTCCTTCAGTGATGGACTATGGAATTGAAAGTGTAAGTCAAATAAAAGCTTCTTACCACAGGGGGCGGAGAAAGGAATCACTCTATTGCAATGCTTTAGAAAGTTTAAGTGCCATTCATCTTAGAAATGTATTTAAAAGGCAATGAAATATTTATGAATTGGTCTTTTT